AGTTGTAGGATATTTAGACCCTGATAATGTCTCAAAGTACAAACAACTGCCTCTTTAAAGGGGAATCATAACTGATTAGCCAAATGAATTAGTTTTCAACTTAACAGAAAAACTCAAAAGGAAAATATAAATTATTCAGCCACTTTGGGTGAATCAACTGCTTGACTCTTTCAGAATTTTTACATCTATAAATAAGGGCTATACTGTTTTATCCTTTCCTTTCCTTATCTCTTTTACTTATTTTCTCTTCTTATTATAGTAAATAGGCCCTCCAGTAAGGTATTAAATAGAAATCTAAGATGTAATAATATATATTTAATATTATTAAATATTGACTGTTGAAGTAGGACTAGACATATTAAGTAATTCAATATTGTTAGTATTCATTCTATACAATTCCAGATTATTTTCAGTTGCTATCTCAACATTTAAGGTTTTCTTAGTTCCAAAATTGAGATAAAGATACTCATGGAGCTTCAAAGAACTCTGAATACCAGGCTCATGCCTATAATCCTAGCACTTTGGGAGGCCGAGGTGAGTGGATTGCCTGAGCTCAGGAGTTTGAGGCCACCCTGAGAAAGAGTGAGACCCTGTCTCTAAAAAGTAGCTGGGCATTGTGGTGGGCACCTGTAGTCCTAGTTACTTGGGAGGCTGAGGCAGGAGGATCCCTTAAGCCCAAGAGTTGGAGGTTGCTGTAAGCTATGACATCATGGCACTCTACCCAGGGCAACAGCTTAAGACTCTCCCCCTAAACCCCCAAAAGAGTGTATATATATATATATATATATATCATCATATGCATGTCTTTAACCATCACGTCCCTAACTTTCAAGCTAGTATGGTAGCTTTGACATGTAGAGCAACATCCTCCAGATCCTCTGTCATAGTAGTAGCTTGTTCTACATCAATGTTTTCATGGGCACTTTTGAGAAAGCGTAAATTTACACATTTGCAAGAGCACATGTTTTCTTATAGTTGCTATAAGTGTGTTCATAACTTTGTATTATTCTAGTACATAATGCCAGTATAAGTCAGTGGCAAATAGTTCAATATTTCCTATTTCTGGTTGTGACTTGATCTTTCCAAAGTGCAGTTATTAATCTTTCCCTTAACAATTGATCACCCATTTTTAATTTTACTTTTATGTATATTAAGGAATGTAAAATTTGTAGTAGTTATGAATTTTTAAGGAAATTTTAGGCTAATTAATTCAAAATATGTGATAATTCTTTTATTTGCATTTATTTAGTAGTCACTAGCAGACATTTTGCCATATAAATTTCTTAGGTGTTTTGATCTGCTGTTTGGCTGCTGAACCCCCACCCCCACCCCCATCACCACCACATGCATTGTCTTCTCTTGTTTTAAACCTTAGATTGTGAGCTTATCATCAGTGGGGCTTTCTCTTTAAAACTCCAATGTAGCCTGGGTTAAAAATGTTTTTCCAGAATAGTTTAGGCCCACAACTGTGTCTAAGCTTTTTTTTCTTTACTGCACATTGGAAGAATAAGAGTTGTGTTGGGCCACATATTAATTACACAAACACTAATGAAAGCTGATTAGCAAAAAAAAAAGAAAAAAATCCATGCATACTTTTTGGTATATCTGACACCACAGATAAGCAAAACAAGTCCTCACAAAATCAGCATGTGGCCCTTAGGCTGTATGTTTGGCACCCCTGGTTTAGGCTTTATTTCTGCATGTACTCCCTGTGTTACCAGACAAAGAGGGTCCAGCCTGTCAGAGTCCAGCCAATATGCACAGACCAGGTTTAGGTCCAAATAAGCTTTATTTGTCAGAAGGCCCGCAATTCTGGAGAACAGTGAGAGTAGCCTCTCAGTTCTGATCTTCCTGAGCTACAATTCCAATAACTTTTATTATGAAATATAAGGAAACCAAACTAGAAAAGTTTAACGTTATCCGATAGAAAATAACATCAAAGGTAATCTCCATTTTAACAATGCAAAATGTTTCATTTTAGCAAAATATCTAAGAGAATGGTCAGAGAAAACATCATCATCAAAGTAACCTTTTCTCTACCATCATCAGAACACCTACTACCTTAGAGTCTCCTGTGATAAACATCTTCACAATCCCAGTGAAAGTTTAACTGGACGGTCACTGAGGTGTGGGAAAGAATGTAAGTTGAGCAGACTAGGTCAACTGCACTGCTTCAGCTCAGCTTCTCAGACTCCATCTTGCAGGCTGCTTTTCTCGCTTCAAACGGAGATCCCTGGCTCAGGATCCATTTCTTTGTAGTTTCTTGGCTAGTGACTACCTAGTCCACATCTGATATAAATCCAGTACTATATGTTGTAGCCCCATGTTATGGATTCTTCAGAGATTTATTTTTCCCTCCAGAGCCCAAACAGGCAAACAAGTTTCCCTGGTGTCGTCCTTGGAGTTTTATACAGAGCTCTCAGTCTCAATTTGCCTGTTTGTAAGAACTAAGTTCTCATCACCTGTTTTTCGTGCTCCCTCAGAAACCAAACTCCTAGATCGTAGCCCCTCCCGCGACGCACTCCTGAGGCAAACACCGGGCAGCCTACTCATTTGCCAGGCCAGTTTTCAGTTGCTTCATTAGTGCTGGCATCTGGATTTTTTTTATTTTTTTAATGGGAGCTCAGCTGTGACTGTTTTAAGTTTATATAATTTTCCGCAACAGTTCCAATTGAGCTAGCAGGAAGGTTTGTATGTATAACTATATTTCAGCCCATATTGCTGAAATTCACATCTTGAATTCTTTCTCATCTATAAAGCTTTTCTTCACAGGTTTGTAAATATCCTTGACTTGGTTTTTCCTAAAGCACATTACATTTCACAGTTGTAGCCTTAAAATGGCATTCCCCTCCTTTATTATTTAATAAAAATGCCGTACCTAGTCTGATATCATTAAACCTTACCACATCAAAAATTCTACTCAGAAGCACAAAAGGAAGGATTAAATTTGAAGATGGATAGACTTGCCCTTTTAACATTGCTGAGAAAGTAACCTGGAAGAATGCATCTTCTGTGAATAAATAACACCAGATTCAGCATGATGATTATTTGGGGTCCAGGGGAAAGAGGAATTAAGAAGTGAGATCATTGAGGGGGTTTCAATTTTATTTATGTTTTATTAAGCTAAGTTGTGTACACCAGGGGTTCATTACACACATTAACCTTTTTAAAAAGGCTGAAATAGGCTCGGCGCCTATAGCTCAACCGGCTAAGGCGCCAGCCACGTACACCTAAGGCGACGGGTTCGAATCCCCAGCCCGGACCCGCCAAACAACAATGAAGGCTGCAACCAAAAAATAGCCGGGCGTTGTGGCGGGCGCCTGTGGTCCCAGCTACTTGGGAGGCAGAGGCAGGAGACTCGCTTGAGCCCAGGAGTTGGAGGTTGCTGTGAGCTGTAATGCCACGGCACTCTACCCAGGGTGACAGCTTGAGGCTCTGTCTCAAAAAAAAAAAAAAAAAGGCTGAAATAGTTCATAATAATGTTAAAGTAGGGCGGCGCCTGTGGCTCAAAGGAGTAGGGCGCTGGCCCCATACGCTGGAGGTGGTCAGTTCAAACCAACCCCCGGCCAAAAACCTAAAATAAATAAATAAATAAATAAAAGTTAAAGTAATTATCATCATCATGTACATAGTACCATATTTTTAATGTCATATAACAAGACAATTTCCACCCTGAAGAGATAAGAGGATAAGTTGTTTTTCAGCTATTATTAAGACTTAGTCATTTTCACATCAGACTCCTTTTTTTTTTTTCCTATTCTTGTTGAAAATGTCATATGACTGACCATAAGCTCCAACCTATAGTGGTGATTATGCTATTTCCAACCTGGGAAGTAATTCTAGCATAATCCAGAATAGCAATAGATTGAATCAGAACCATCTTTTGTGCCAAAAAGGCCATTTTAAATATTTTTGCAATTAAGTTTTTTGCTGACTTTCTTTGTTTATGTGAATTACAAGTGTTGCTATTTAGTGACTGTATTCAATCACATCTTTTAACACTAAAATATGGAATAAAAAAGATTGGTATTTAGAGGGACCCAGGTCCTTTTGAATGTCTACTTATAACTGGCACTTTGCTTGATTCCTTGCCTAGATTGTCTTTCATCACAACGTGAAAAATAGTTAACATTTATTTGTGCCGGTCATATGGCCAGTATTCTTTATGTACTATCTTAATCTTTACAACATTCCTGTAAAATAGATCTTATCATCATCCTCCTTTTAGAATGAGAAAACGGGTTAGATTATTTTGACTAAATCATATAGCTACTAAATAGAATATTTACTTTTAAGTAACTTCCTATATATATGTATATATATGTATGTATATGTCTATCTATCTGTGTATGTTAGAGCTAGCTAGCATATCTATCTATCAATCATCTCTTCTTTATCATAGTGTCCAGTATTGGAGCAATAATATCACTAGGCCATGAGACAAATTCATGTGCTTGTTATGATACATAAGATATAGCTGATTTCTGCTTGCAAACAGTAGATAAGATAAAAATATAAGGAATGGATGAGCATGCCAAAGAAAGCTGGGTCATCAGGCCAGAGTTGTGGGTGGAGGGCAGAATGCAGGTGAGAATCAGTGGCCCCAGGCTACTGAGGTAGAATACCTATTGATGTTGATGGTATGTGTGGATAAGTTAGGTATGTAGCCTCTGGTTTTATGTTTTCTGTCATACCAAAGACTATTAAAAGGACAGTGTTGTCCTGGGATCCTCACCTTTGACCTAATCAAATAAAACCTTCCCTCCCCATATCACTACTGTTAGGAGAGTGGAGGATGATGCCAGAGAGAGACACAAAAATAAAAATAGCAGGATGGCCAGGATATATTGTTTTTTATTCACTTCTGATAAGCTCATTGCTTTTCAGAAAAAAAGAAAGGAGAGAAGGGAGAGATGGAGGGACAGAGAGACACAGAGGATGAAAGGTGGACTCGGGGCAGAGAAAAGTATCTGACTATATTTCTCTTCACGACTTCTTAGTGAATATGGTGCTTGAATGACTATTTTGAAGAAGAAATCGGGGGAAGAGGAAGGAGAGAAGAGAAAACCTGCCTCTGAGTGCAATGAACACCATTCGGGCGATGGGCACACTTACAGCCCTGACTCAAGCATTCTAAAAGTGATCAATGTAACAAAAACATTTGTACCCCCTTAATATTTTGAAATTAAAAAAAAAAGAAAAGAAATCAATGTAATTTTATCTACACTGAGCCTTGTACAGTGCTATGGGTCTCTTTCCCTCAGTCTTAGGGAAATTCTCATGTCTCCAAACTTCGTCTTGAACATTGTTTCTACTTCACATTGTGTTTGCTTTGGACCATTTAAGTAATTTTGGGTCTAAGGCACTTATTTAGGATCCTTCATTGGATTAGCAATTAGTATAATCTTAGTTAAATAATACTTCATCTACTCAATTTGCCACGGCCATCTATATGTGGTCTAATCTAAGTCTCACTGTGGCAGCACCCTTAATAATAAAATAGTCTCGCAAGACCCAGAGGCATGAGTGTGAGCAGATGTTTTCTTTTGCCTTCAGAATTTCACAGGTGTCCAAAAACATTGTAAAGATGCAAGAAAGGGCCAATCTAAAAACATGTGCCCTGGGGTGGACAATAAATAGCTCTGCTTGTATGAATATGTTGCTGCTTTGTAGTTTAAAAATCTGTAATTAAATTTAAATTGTGAGGGAGAGAGGCTGGGAGGGATGAAAAATTACCTATGTAGTGATGAGTACACCAAAAGCCCAGAATGCATCATGAACCAGTATATACATTAATGGAATTCAACTCATAGTCCTTAAATCTATTTAAAAAAATAAAGAAAAAAATCCAAAAAATTTTCAAAAAAAAAAAAAAAAAAAAACAAAGAGAGAGAGATAAAATAAAAACACAAATTATGTTCCTTAACTCTCAATCATGTAATGTGACTAACAGGCTGACCCCCTGGTTAACTTTAAGCCATCTAAAAATACCTTTAAAAGAATTCCTTTCAAAGAAAATATTATATATACATGAATGTATTTATAATTTAGGTACACGTGTATATCAATCAGCCACAAAAAAGAAGAAATTTTTGCCATTGTGACAACACAGATAACACTAGAGGACATGATGTTAAGTGAAATAAGCTGGAAACAGAAAGGCAAACACTGCATGATCTCATTGATTTGTGGAATATAAAACGTCAGTGGGGGAAATGGAGAGATGCTGGCTAAAAGGTACAAAGTCAGAAAATGAATATATCTGGGAATCTAACGTACAATATGGTGACTATAGCTGATAGCCTTGTATTATTTACTTGGAATTTACTAAGATGTTAAGAGTCCTGACCACACACACACACACACACACACACACACACACATATATTAACTGTGTGGTGCTGGATGAATTAATTGGCTTGATTGTGGTAATCAGTACTCAATACCTATGTTTATCAAATCATCACAGATATCTTATAAATATACAATTTTTATTTTTCAATTATACCTCAATGAAGCTTGGGGGAAAAATTAAAAAATTTAAGTTGTATCTTATGGAAAATTGTGAATCTACTTTCTGTAGACTTTTTATTTATTGTTTGGGGTTCATGGAGGATGCAAAGAATTAGGTTACACTGATTGTGTTTATAAGGTCCTCTTATAATTGTGTCCCACCCCCAAGAGGTGTGTCATACATTGTGATCCTCCATCCCCCTCCTGCCTCCCCTCTCCCCAGTCCCTTGTTCCCTTGCCCCTCACCTTGAATTAATTTGAATTTTTCTTTTATGAGGGTATGTATTAGATCGTCTACTGGCTTCATACTAGAATTAAGTACACTGGATTCTTGCTTCTCCATTCCTGTGATACTTTACTAAAAAGAATGTGTTCCAGCTCAGTCCAGTTTAATACAAAAGATGCAAAGTCTCCATCTTTTTAAATGTCTGAATAGTATTCCCTGGTATACATATACCACAGCTTGTTAATCCACTCCTGGGTTGGTGGGCATTTGGGTTTTTTTCTACATGCAGACTTTGTTAGAAAGGTTCAGTTATTTCCAGTGTGCTCACTGATGCCACATTTTAAAATTTCTGTTATCTTATTCCTTAGGTAGCTGCTATCTCGCTACTCCCACCCCTTATGTTTTTGATAAGAACTAGAAAATATTATTAGGAATCTTAAACATCCTTTTGAAAGTTTTTAATAAAAGTTAATTTTAAAAATGTATTTCATTTTCTATACAAACAACAGGAAAGTGAATTCTTCAAATATTTTGTAAAGTACTTTATTGTTTACAAAGAGCCTCATGTCCATTTCCTCCTAGAGAGTTGCTTAAAGCAGTACCATAAGGTAGAACAAGCAGGTGTCATGCCCACAGAGCAGATGAAACTGAATCCACAGGTAAGTAACCCAGGTCTTCTGGTGCCTAAGCTAGTTTTTTTTTTTCATGTGTCATTTTGTTCTCTGACCAAACAGCAATGAAAGGGTCTAATTTTGACATGGATGCTTGGGTTTTATTTTCTGACATTGCCTTTTAAAACTTTGTGGAATCATTAGGACTGTAACTATGAATAGGTGGAACAATTCATAGTTGATAAATTCCATCTGTTGGTTAACTAACTTTGCTTTCTCTTCCTCTTCTGTGTTCTGGGGCTCAGAAGTGAAGGATGAAGTGTGTGAATGGAGTAGGTGAAGATCTCATCGGTAAAGAAAGCTCAACTTTAAGGATATAATAAATGGCAACTTTAAAGAACATTTCAACATGATATAGTAGTAGATTCTCAGTTCAGGGTTGTAAGATTTCATAAACACCCTGAACATGCCTCAGGTTACTTCTTCTCAGGACTTTCCTGCTCTATATATTCTGTGTAGTCCTGTGTGAACACTGTCAGCTCCAAGTATGCAAGTGTGATGCCTAAAGGTTGAAAACTCTAACACTGTTGTGCTTATTGTAATGAGCATTGGGTCAAGATTAGCTTAAGCAGAGACACCAAATAATAGAATCACAAGCAAAATGGGAAGTAAAATGTGTTTTATACTGAATCTTTATAGATGGATTTGGCAAAGAAAAGTTGATTAACCATGGGCCCAACTGGGGACACATTTATAATGATTTGTAAGTAGTCTAGAGAAAAGCTAAATTAAAAAATTATAATTTTTCTAAGATGGGCTGATAACTATAGTAGTGAATTAAAATAACTTGTGAATGTTTCTAACCAAAATAAAAATACTAGTTATGAAGTATAGTCCATTAGGTATCTCTAAAGGGTGGAATATTTGAAATGAAAATTTGAATTCAGAAACCTGAGGGGCCTGAATTTTGAATAAACTGACTGAGGGGAGATAGAAGTAAGTATGAAAAGGGGCTTTTTTTTAGTTGTTGATTTGCCTTCAAGCTGGGTGTGTGTTTCATTTGGATAACTTCTTGAAAGTTCCAGGAATTACTGAAAAAAGGGACTTAAAGGACTTAGAGATTACTAGTTTAATCCTCTACTGTAGCATAAGAGTGGGCCACTTCATGGAGAACTATTCTGTCTTTATAATAATGGATTTCTTATATACTACCTCTTTTTTGCATTATCCAAAAATTATGGATATGTTGAATATGTTGATCTTTATACAATTGATTATAAGAAAAGCCAAAACGAAAACCTGACCTTAATACTATATTTTATTTTAGCTTTCTATGCCATTGTTTGAGAAATTTCTTTCTATTGCTTGCACTAGAAATGCTGGTAATTAGATATTTAGTACATATAGGATATGTTCAATAATGAAGTTAAATATAGTTTTGTTCTGTTTTTAGATTTATTAATGTTTAATTGAAAATAAAAATTTTGTGTAGTTATAGCGTACAATATGACCTTTTGATATATGTCTACATTGTGAAATTACTAAATATAGCTAATTAACATATCCATCATCACATACACTCATTTTCTTCTTGTGGGAACCAGAGGATTTACTTTCTTGCAAATTTTCAAGTATATAATATTCTTAACTTTAATTACCACGCTGTATAATAGATCTCAGAATTTATTCTTCCTGTCTGTCTTAAGCTTTTTACCTTTTGATCAACATTTCTCCATTCCCCACTTGACCCTCAGCTTCTGGTAACTACCATTCTACTCTGCTTCTGTGAGTTACACTTTTTCAGATTCCACATATAAGTGAGATCACACAATATTTGTCTTCCAGTGCCTGGTTTATTTCAGGTAATGTAATGTTCTCCAGGTTCATCCACCTTGCAACGAGTGACAGAATTTTTTTTTAAGGTAGAATAGCATTCCATTGTGTATATATACCACATTTTCTTTATTCATTCATCAGTTAGTGGGCATTAGGTTGGTTCTGTATCTTGGCAATTACAAATAATGCTGCGATAGACGTGGGAGTGCAGATCTTTCTTCAACATACTAATTTTATTTCCTTTTGCCAGAAGTAAGATTACGGGGTTGTATAATAGTTCCATTTTTAATTTTTTGAGGAACATTTATAATTTTTTTTCATAATGGCTATACTAATTTATATTCCCACCAACAGTGCTTAAGTGTTCTCTTTTCTTTTCATCTCTCATTAACACTTATTATTTTTTTCTTTTGATAATACTCATAGGTATGAGGTGATATCTCACAGTGGTTTTAATTTGCATTTCTCTGATGATTAGTGATATTAAGCATTTTTTCATCTATGTGTTGGTCATTTGTATGTCTTTTTGTGAGAATGTGTATTCAGGTTTTTGTCCATTTTTAAATCAGGTTGTTTTCTTGCTATTCATTCTCTACATTTTTACTTTTCCTTCATTTTATGTTTTGATGTCACAATTTACATCTCTCTACATCATGTATCTTTTAACAAATTAATGTAGCTATAGTTATTTTTAATAGTTTTGTTTTTTGACTTTTATACTAGAGACATAAGTGATTTACACATCATCATTACAATATCAGAGAATTCTGAATTTGACTATGTACTTATGTTTACTAGTGAATTTTATACATTTATACATTACTAATTAGCATCCTTTTATTTTAGCTTGAGAAACTCCTTTTAACGTCTCTTGTAAGGCAGGTCTAGTGGTAATAAGCTCTCACAGCTTTTGTTGGTCTGATAAAGTCTTTATCTGTCCTTG